CATTCCCTCCGCAACAAAGTTTGACCGGAATTTTGTTTATGAAGGAGAACGCCTTGTAGCACGCCATTCTGCGCTGCAAAGCTGCAAAATTTTTCTTGGGTCTCTTTATAAGTCAGTAATTTGTAAAAATATTGTTTAAAACACATTTTTTATGTACTTAACTTTCTCAAAATCGCAAATGTTTAGAAACTTGAATAAACATATTCGTATTCATACGTAGTTGTTTTACGAAAACTATAAAAAATATCCTCTGACTAATTACACGTTTCATATTACGCGGATACCAAACTTTACACTTCTGCATCCGCCTCCTTTACAACACTAATAAATATAACGGTTCAACTGAAGACAAATATTCTGAGGGTTATCGACGATGTTATCCACGTGTTAGTGTGTGTTCCAGAGATTGATCAGAGGGTAATATATTTTTGTAAATTATACCCTGAAAAAAAAAAGCCAACCGCCGCTGGTCGCCAATCGATTGTGACTGAATGTTGCATCGAGAAACTTCCAGGGACTTCCCTATCGGCTTCCAGAGACTTCCAATTCGATATATATAAACACTACCTACCAACTCGCAGATCGGGAAAGTTAGTTAGTCAGTTATTGTCAAACCCACAGGAAAAACGTAGCATTATGATTCTAATTGAAAATTACAAGGATTTTAATAGCGGCTTACGTGAGCTAAGTATATAAAAATTAACCTTTTTCTCGCGTGACAAATGTAAAAGTTCCAACCACTTCTTTATAGAGACCGGTTGGAAGACATCAGATTGAATCTCCGAAAACGTCCAAATGCGCTGAACAGTTGCGTACGATTATGATATTGATTTACATATCTATGAAATGCGGAACGTGAATTTCTCACTGCAAAACATTATCATCACATGATTTTGTTTGGAAAAAAGTGAAATTATTAAATATAATTAGCTGAAGAAGCAAATGCGTCACTGGAATCAATCAATCAAGGCGCCAATTACTTAATTTTTGTTGTTGCGTAAATTCATAATCTGTACCTATTACTTTTTCAATATGAAAATTAATTAATATTCTTTGATTAGTATTCCCAAGAGAAAAAAAACTCTCAATCCGCCAAAATTTTTCAGAATCCCAAAAAATTCCCCAGCTGTTTTCATCGAAAAACTTCAACCGGCTTGAAAGGATTTGTACGATTTGAAATGAAAAATTTCAACTTCCCAAGTGGACTAGATGGTGTTGATTTACCGCGACACGTGTTTCGCTATACCATAGCATCTTCGGACGTCACAATACACGTGTCGCGGTTTTGTAAACTTTCTAGTGAAAATCTCATATTGAAGTGTGATTTTTGAATACGTTATAATGGATTTTCGTCAAGTATCGGTCAGTTATACCATATTCATGATTAAAACGTTTCAACATCACCAAATTTTCACAGAATATCACAAACTGAATCTAGTTGATTTTTATGGAAAAACTATGATTGCCTGAAGAAACTTGAGGTGACAACTGAGAAATCGAGATGCATCGGTTGTGGATATAATGTAAGAACGACTTTTAGAACTACCAACACATAAATATAGTTAAAAAAACCAAACAGTGTATTTACTATATACCTAAAGTTATATAGGTGAAACCTCAATACTACCTCAAGATGTGAGAGAAAATGAACATTTTGAGTATAAGAAGAATTCGGATAACAGGATTGCAGATAGCGGAGTATATTTAAAAAACATACTTATGGTAATCACGCTTTGAAATGGAGTGAAACAAAAAGTATCACTTACAAAAAAAAACTCAGTCTTAAGCAGGTAACAAGTGTATTCTAAATAGCTCTGTTGAAATTAATCGAATCTGGCTGCCATTGCTGAGACGGAAAAATGAACCTCATTCTCATAAAAACGTCCATTAAATGTATTCATGTGAATATTGCATGTCGCAATATTGTGCACATCGCGCATTCTTTTGACGTACGTCAAAAGAAGTACACCTATCCACAATTGAGGCGAATATTTTGAAATGAAATTTGGGTTATGAAGAAGGAAAGATTGTTTTCCGAAGCGTCGACCATAAAGAAAGCTCTAAGTATAGAAATTTTCCTTTTTTCAATTTGTAGGCAACATTATACTCATACGGCACTGAATTCACACCAGTTTCATAGTGCCAATTCAATTCGTCAAATGTTTCAACATGACAAAATATTTACAATCACAGAAAATTTTCAAAATTGGACGAAAATCAATAAACTGATTCAACAGATTTGACCAGAAATATTGCGCCAATAAAACTTTACATCAGACAACCATGGGTTTCATCCACAAATTGGGGGAATTTTGCCTCTAACGGAAGGAAATGCGCCAAGCCACCGGTTTTCGTTAAAATTTATTCATTCCTAGCCAGGAAAATTTGTCTTTGAAGACATTTGTCGTCAACTACGAAATCAATTCAATGCTTGAAATTAATATCAATTCAAACAACTACTTATGACCGGAAAAAATGCATGGAACAATAGTATTCAGCATGTCTTATAAATTACTTCCATATTTATATAACGGCTTGTGAAAAAATAGCACTCTCAAGATATTTTCACATACTTAGAACAGTAGTATTCGGCGTATTCTATAATATTTGTATATTTCACCTCCTGCTACCCCTTTCATTATTTCGATTTGAAAAAGCATATCTTCTGAGAAAATAGTGCTGCTGGAAATATTTTCACATATAGGTATTTAGGACACGTTGAATAATACTATTGTTCTAACACCTGTAGAGTTAACTTTTCAGCAGAGGTGATTTTTTTTAAATGAAATGATTAAAGGGTTGCAGGGAAGGTAAATTTCCGCGACAAAATCAATTATCATGTAGATGCTGTGAAGAACACTGAATGATCCTATTTCCTGGAAAAATAATATGAATGGTTATGGGGGATGGAGTTTCCCTCAGCAAAATAAACGACTTTGTAGAAGTTGAAGAACATGCTGAATACTATTGTTCCATGCATATCTTTCCAATCATAATTGTTCGAATTGATATTGATTTAAAGTATTGAATATTAACAAAAAATTAATTGTAGGTATCTGTGAAAAAAAGTACATTAATATTCTATTATTTTATCAATGGTAGAAGGTGAAATTCGATTTTTTCTTTACTGATTTCGTTGCTGGCAACGAATGTCATTGAAGACAAAATTTCATGGCTAGTCATGAATTCTAAAGATCAATGGTGGCTTGACGCACTCCTTTCCGTTAGCGGTGATTTTCCCCAAATCGTGAGTGAAACCCATGGCCGCCTTCACACTGGTGTTAGGTTAGGTCAATGAGTAGGTCTATTCGACCCTCCACCGCAACCCGCAAGGGTAACTACTGGTGTAGTTACTTACATAATATATGAATGACATTTTTTTCGCAATTTATCTTGCCATCAAATCGACTCATTCAGCTATTAGTCAAATATTTTTCAGACATGTTCTATTTCCAGTATCAGAACTAAAATTCGAGTTATTGAAAATTCTAGATTTGTACTCCAAATACTTATTGTTCTTGGAATCGCATATATAATGGAAAACTCATCGCCTCTCAACTCGTACAAGAGCAAAAAAGAATTCAGAGGGTTGCTCGGACGGGAGCTATCTGACGATAAACAAGAGCTTCGACATGAATTTGAGGCTCGAAAAATACTTTTTTGCGATTGACTGACGAGTTGAAATGTCACTATGGAATGAAGTAAATCGTGGTTAAACAAACCCACTGTGAGAAATGCAGTTTTTATGCAACTGGCTGCCAAATATTCGACTAATAGTACCTACAATGAAGAATTTGAAAATTTTGATTGACTTTTATTAGGAACAAAAGAACATTTTGAATTATAACATTCTAGTATTATAATTTATAGGTATATTCTATATTTGAGGCATGTTTATCAATAGTACGAGAATCGTATTTGAAGAATCGTGTTATAGGCGAAACATTGTGCAAAACCTCAAAATCGTTTCTTCATGTCAATACTGATGATAGAATAGGTGATATTTTGAAAATATATACATAATTACTACGTGCAAATCATTTCAAAATAATCGGAGAAAGGCTTCTATGGAGGGTATTTGAGTAACACTTCAATGTGAGATATTTGCTGAATAGTGAAACGAAACCGCCGGGGATTTTGTAAACAGTTTAGAAAAAATTTCACAATAAAATAATATTTGAATAGGTTTTCATGGATTTTCATGAAGTACCTATCGACCACTGCTAATACAGCTTTTATCAAGGCTCAGTTACTCAACTCCTTAAATTGAATAGAGTATAGGCTAATTTATTAGTAGATATACGACTATGACTGATTCGTATGAATAAGACGCTCAAATATAATAGGTCACATATTCTTGATAAATACCCACTATCATTAGATTGCTACTGATGATATTTTTATGCTTGTTTGAAATAGATTTACAATAAAATACATCATCATATTCATCAAAAATTGGACAATTCATATCATTTACAGAACCTGTTATTCAGAAATGCATTAATACTCTTTATGCACAATATTCTTCATTATGAAAATATTTCAGAATGAAATGCGAAGTCACGAAATCATATCTTTTTGGTCAGTTAATAAATAAGTGAGAGTTTTGGGTTTTGCGGGATCTAAAACGTTTTAAATTACTTAAATGAGCATCATATTTTGTATCAATACCTATTATTCCAAAGTTAACTTGCCTATTATCAAATAAACATTTGAAAAAAAGCATTTTTTTTTCAGGACTGATGGAATTTAGAATGTGTAAGATTATTTTTTGAATCACAACCAACCTAAACAAATTATTTGAATTGAGAAAGTTTGCGCTTCTCCCTTACATTGTAGGTACTTTACAAGCTTTCCATACTTATCACAACCTACTTTCAACCCCCATAGAATATATTCAGAAATCTGCAATTCACACTTCCCACTCAGTTCAAAAACTACGCATGTGCTGAGTCCAAGTTGAAGCTACCCTAAAATCTGAATGAATAACTTGTACCAACCTGTAGAACATGCAGATCACTTTCGATTTCCAAATCAGAGACTTGAACTCCATCCACATCTGAGTAGGATGGACCACTGTAATCAGAAACAACACTAGAACCGCAACTGTTGCCGGAATCTTCCATATTTATATCGGCATCTTTGAATTCTGCACCCATTATCACACTTATCAATGGGTTTAAGCACTGGGGGTCGTATAGTTCTTTTATGAGATAGCACTTCACGGTTTTCTTAATTCGCGGTTGTTACTTTTCAAGTTAATATAGGATGTTGAGTGGTTGTGGTTGTTCGAACTATGCCTACAACACACTACAAAAGCTCGCGCCACACTGGGACGAGGCGAATTTTAGAGCGACACACGCTCGCAAATTGTCTAGGCGCCTGCGTTCTCGGTGAGCTATGATTTTTAAACGTTACGGCGTTGCCACTTTCTCATGCAATCGGTGTAATATATATTGTACAATCAATGAAGTACACTAGTTTAACAATATATTCCAATCATTTCGACAATGTATACTGTCATCCTCAGAGAAAAATTGGGTAAATTTTCGTTATGCGGACACCCGGCGATTACGGGTGTCCAGATAACGAAAATTTACCAAAAATTGTCATTGAGGTTGGACACAGTGATGTTTAAAATAATTTTTGTTATTATTTGATTTTAATATTGAACTTAGATTTGAGAAATGGAAAAACATTGAAATCAGTGGATAGTGATTCAAGAATGATTATAGTTACACATCAAACAATTAAACATATAAACGTCAAATTTAGTAAAATTATTATGAATTTAATGAATAAATTCCTTTTTTTTATTTTAAAATTCTGATTTTGTACCAGGCCGGTACATGTGATCACAATATAGGTTATAATACTTCAACCTATTTTGTGTTCCTTTTTTTAATTTAAATATTCAAAGAGCAAATTTGTTCAATGTATCCCAGAGCAATTCATTTTAATGACATCCGGCAACACTGTTGCAGTTTCTAGGGGTCTTGAGCATTATTCGAGATAAAAATGGAAAAAGTTGGTGCGACAGAGGATTATTCGTTTTACCCTGTTTTTGCCGACTCATTCAACAGTTTGCCATGGCGGATCTTTATTATCGAGATCGGGAATGTGCATTTTATTTTACAATCTACGTGACATGGTTAGCACTTTCATTAGTTCTGCCAAACAATATTCGAGCAGAGTAGTATAGTTCAACCACCTGTACTCATGTACAGATTATTCTTCAAAATGGATAACTCAGAACACGGTTTAAAGAAAAAAGGATGTTGATTGGAATCAAATTGTAACCAACGATAATTTACGGTTCATTATTAGACAGCAAATTATAAACTAATAAGTAGTACATAAAAACATTTTTGAAAACAAGCTTTCATTTATGTGCTCTAAAAAGAAGAAAAAGAACTTCAAATTTGATCTATTCTATCAATTCCTTGCATTATATAATGTATATGATGTAAAAGCTTGTCGCTAGATTTTATAAGATTAGGTATTCCAATATCAAGGAGATTTCAAAGGATATAAAACTTTCATGGCCAGCGACATCTGTGTCAACGCTCTTTTCCGGATTTGTTGGATATAGTCAGAAGATTCTCCATGCCTGGTGTTTCATTTAGTAATGCGGTAGACATCAAAAGCGATGAGGCATCGGGTTGTTTTCACGACAGATAGGTAATAGACAATAAAAAGAAAAATGTAAAATTACATAAAAAAAATGTTGACAATTAGTTGCCAACGTTATATTATGTACTTTTACATTTGATACACACTTGTAAATTTCATCACTTGATAATTAATGTGAATATACTCATCAAATTCGTAACACATGTCGAAAAATTACGTGAGTTTTTATGGAATAATCATATTTAAATTTCAATGTTGTATGAATTTTACTGTATGAAATTATACAAAGAATGTCAATTCACTAATGAAATTTCATTGTAGAGGCTCCAATTATGTGAAAATACAATGTAAATTTGTTGAGGCTTTCGCGGCTGAGATTTTCATTTTTACGATATTCATTCGAGTTTGCATTTTGGTTTTCGGACTATATGAAAATAAAAATTGTGGCCTTTAAAAACCTGAACTCAGATAAGGAGATCATCATTCTACCAGCTGACAAGGGAAATGCCACGGTGCTCTTGAAAACAGAAGAATACATCGGAAAATTGAAGAACTTCTGCCGCAAAATAAAAAGAGACCGAACACAATCAAGGTTGAGGAATACGAACCGGCTTATAAAATAATCATCACTGTCGGAAACCACTCAGAAGACGATCTTAAGAACAGACGCCGTCCCGCCAAGGCTCTACGGTCTTCCTAAAATACACAAAAAAGAGTCCCATAGTGCGTGCACCAGGTTCACCTACGTATTACTTGTCAAAACACCTTGCATCGCTTCTTCAGCCTCATGTTGGAAATCAACCTCGTACGTCAAGGATTCAACATACTTTGTGAAAGAATCAAGAATATAACCTTGGAGCCAAGTGATATTCTGATCAGTTTCGACGTTGTGTCTTGTTCACCAATGTCCCGCTGGAAGATTCTTTGAGAGAGATAGCCAACTTATCTCCTAGTGATATTGTCGGACTCTTCAAGGCCTGCCTCACGGGAAGTTACTTCCAATGGAGAGGAGATGTCTATGAGCAATTAGACGGCGTAGCGATGGGAAGTCCACTCAGCCCAATGATATCCAACTTCTTCATGGAGAAAATTGAGAAGGCAATCGACGCTTTTGTTTTCAAACCAACCATTTGGCTACGATATGTGGATGACACCTTCGTTATCTGGAGACATGGGAGGGACAGACTGAACCTATTTCTAGACCACATAAATGCTCAACATCCTGGCATCAAGTTGACGTTGGAGACTGAACAGAAACAATGAATAACTTTTCTAGTTGTTCTCGTCGAAAGGCTAGGCACAAGACTGACACATAAAGTGTAAGTAGTAGATTACAGCCGTTTCTGGGACTCCCCCCACCACTATGAAGTATTAATTGCTTTTTTTGTTTAGTAAAATCAAGGCGATGTGACCTTGAAGTGTTTGGTGCATGGAATATTCAGAATTTTTTTCGTATGAGATTTTGTGTGTGCGACATAAAGACGTAATAACATTTGGTTGGTGTGTATGTGTGTGTGAGAGAGAGAGAAAGAGAGAATGCACTGTGCAGGGTTTATCATGTGCGTGTCTATGTACAAACATACGTCTGCAGACTTCAAAGATCCTCCAAGTAATGAATGTTCCATCGGTGTGAGCCCACCAAGTTAGTGGTGTGACGTCCCAGCAGCAACCGTTCAATGGTAGGAGAGCGAGATTTCACTCCACGAAATGTGGTTGAGTAATGCGTATTCATCGGTATGTCCTCACCTCTCTCGATGCGGCGATGACTATGACGTAACGCATCGCTCTACCCTCGCTGTCGATGGTGACGCGCAGGCGGCGAGGACTGTGTTAACGTCTGCCCTCTATGATGGCGCAACGACCACTGTCTGTTCGTATCGGTATCTGTTAACGCATCTAGCTGATGGTTGGGTTGACGGATGTAGCTGAGAGGTGGGGTTGGCTATGACGTCTTGACGGACCCGGTCAGACTGTATTTAAGAAGCGGACGAGTGTTAGTTATGTCAGCTTACATTAAGTGAGTTAGTGAGAATGTATTATAGAAAATGTGTTCCTGTGACTGTGGTAAATCTTTCACTGGTAGTGTTAATCTTCGTCGGTATCAGCTCCAGAGTTGCCAAGGAAAGCCTCCATTGAAACGGATGACAGTGGGTAATGCAACACCTATATACATGCAATTGTTTCAATGTGACAATTTCTATGACCCAAGTGAATTCTCACCGAAGAACCATGAGTCATAAAAATAATGCATGTGTTCAATTGTCTGAAGGTGTTCAGATCATAACGAATGCATTCAATTGCCGCATTGCTACATACAGGGTGGAGAGTTCGATTGTACCCACTGTACAATTACTACATGTAATTTTTTAATGAGATTAGGCAGAAGGTCATTGAATTACTGGAATCGGCCATCAGGATCCATAAAAGCATCAAGGTGAATATGGAAGTTTTTGAGAATTATATTCTTCAGACTCAAGATTCGAGGGACACGAAGTCATTTAATTCCCAAAATGAAATAGTTCACCAATCTTCTGATTTGAATGCCGCTTTTGATGGATTCTGCGATGTAATTATGGCTCAAATGACTGAATTCCAGGAACGTGACTCAGGTATTTATGTTTTGTAAATTTCAACGAGGCTGAATATAAATATTCATTTTATTTTGTAATTTAGGTTGGACTTGTGAAAAAATAATGTTTCTCGAGGTCAACATTGATAAATACAGTCCTCTGGGAGAGCCTTCATATGTGAAGCTGTTCGAATGCATTGAATGGAGGCAAGCTGTCCTGAATGTTCGTAATGAGGATCAACGTTGTTTTGCCTGGGCTATAACATCAGCATCAAATGGTAGAGTGTTCGAAATTACGTCATATCCACATTTTTCCAATGTTTTAAATGCCACAGGTATGAATTTTCCAGTTAAAGTCAATAATAGTAGTATTGAAAGATTCGAAAATAGGAATGATATTTCAATTCATGAATTGAGAGTGAATTTGATAGGGGTAAAACAAAGTATGATGTGATTGGTCCATTGCGATACTCACAGAGAAGACTCCGGAGACATGTCAATTTGTTACTTATAACTGATGACTCCGGTAATAGTCACTATTGTTGGATTAAAGATCTTTCAAGATTGGTTTCTAGTCAACAATCAGCTCATGAACACAAAAAATATTTTTGTAATGGAAGTTTGATGTATTTTTCCAACGAGAGTTGCTTTTACATCACAAAATAAATTATTGTAATCTCGTTAGTACTACAACACTAACCACCAATTTTAGGATCAATAAATATGGTATGATGTTTGCGGAAAATAAATTGATGTTTGAAAACTTTGACAGACAAATGAGGGTGCCACTTGAAGTATATGCTAATTTTGAATCAGTACTTGAACCGATTCACGTGAATGAGCCAAATCCTGAGAGTTCATACACAATGGAAACATTTTAACATGCCCCTTATTCATTTGCTTATTTCAAGAAATATTCATATAATAATGATTTGTCAAAATTTGTTACATATAGGGGTGTAGATGCTGCTCAGAAATTTGTGAGTGGAATTGAAGATGATTAGAAAAGGTATATCAAAATCATCTCAGATACCCTCTATACCAATGGATGCACAAACACTCGAAGAAGAGCAACAATTTGCTGCAGCCAAAAATTGTGGTATATTTATAAACCATTTATTGATGGTGAAGTCAAAGTTAGAGATCAGT